AAAGGAACAAATCATTGATACATATCATGGAATACTACTCAGCAATAAAAAGCAACAAATAATTGATTATGCAACAACTTGGCTCAATCTCCAGAGAATTATGCTGAGTGAAAAAAATGCCTATCTGGCTCATGTCTGTAATCCCAGCACTTTGGGAGGCTGAGGTGGGCGGATCACGAGGTCAGAAGTTCAAGACCAGCCTGACCAACATGGTGAAACCCCATCGCTACTAAAAATACAAAAATTAGCCAAGCATGGTGGCACATGCCTGTAATCCCAACTACTCAGGATGCTGAGGCAGGAGAACTGCTTGAACCCAGGAGGCGGAGGTTGTAGTGAGCCAAGATTTGGCCACTGCACTCCAGCTTGGGTGACAGAGCAAGACTCTGTCCCCCAAACAAATAAACAAACAAACAACAACAACAACAAAATGCATACCACAAAAGGTTACTGTTATGGACTAAATGTTTGTGTCCTCTCTAAATTCAAATGTTGAAGCCCTTACTCCCTAATGTGATGGTATTAGGAGCTGGGGCCTTTGGGAGGTAATTAGGTTTAGACAAAGTCATGAGGGCGGAGCCCCCATAATGGAATCAATGACCATGTAAGAGGAGGAAGAGATTTCAGCACTTTCTCTGTGTGAGGATATACTAAGAAGGCAGCCTTCTGCAAGCCAGGAAAAGGGCCCTCAGCAAGAACGTGATCTGCCAGTATCTGGAACTTGGACTTCCCAGATTCCAGAACCATGAGAAAGAAACGTCTGTTGTTTAAGCCACCCAATCTATGGTATTTTCTTATAGCATTCTGAACTATGCCAGTTATATACTATATAATTTCATTTATATAACGTCCTTAAAATGAGAAAATTCTAGAAATGTAGAACTTGTTAGTAATTGCCAGAGATTAAGGAGGGGTTAGATTAAGGAAGTGGATATGGCTTCCATGAGGGATCCCTGTGGGGAGAGGAATGTTCTGTATCTTGACTATATCAGTATCAATACTCTGGCTGTGATACTGTTTTACATAGTTTTGCAAGATGATAACATTGGGGGAAACCAGGTAAAGAGTACATAAGATCTCTCTTGCAATGCCATGTAAATCTGCAATTATCCCAAAATAAAAAGTTTAATTAGAAAAACTTTATCCATACATATATGTCTGAAACTTACTTTATAAATAACAACAGAAGCTCCTTGGCTTATGATAGGGTCACATCCTGATATAGTCATTATAAGTTGAAAATATCCTAAGTTAAAAATGTATTTAATACAATTAACCTACCAAACATCATAGCTTAGCCTAGCTTACCTTAAACACGCTCAAAACTTTGGCCTACAGTTGGGCAAAATCATCTAATACAAAGCCTGTTTTATTAAAATATGTTCATTGTCTCCTATAATTTATTGAATAGTGTGCTGAAAACCAGTATGGTCATGTGAGTACCTGAAACATAGCTTCTACTGAATGCGTATCATTTTTGCATCATTATAAAGTTTAAAAAGTTCCAAGTCGGGGATGGTCTGTTTATACACGCCATGCGCACACACATATAAAGAGGGAGTGAGATAAAGAAGGTGTTGCAAGATGTTAACAATTGATGACTCTAAGTATACTGGTTTTTCAACTTTTCGGTAAGTTTCAAGTTTTCAAAGTAAAACACTGAAGGAACAGGAATAGTCTCTAGTTTCTTCACTGATCCTTTGCTCTATCTGAAATGTTCCATATCAAGATTAATCCTATCAGGCTGAGCTTTGGGCTTCCATAAGCACCTGCATCCTGATGAAAAAGGTGACAAACAATGTAGTAATGGCTTTTCAGATCTGATCTAAAGAGGATTTAAAAATATCCTGACAACTGGAGACAGAGCATGTTATATGGTAAAACATAATTACTTAAGTTTTACTGTGGGGGGAAAAACAGCATTATTATCACCCTGCTCATCATATTTAGAAAGCAGGAAGTTTCATACCTTTCAATGTGAAGGAAATTAGTTTTCTTCTTCTCTTTTTTAAAACATGAATTTATTTAATTCTCTCAAGTAAAAGAACACCTGAGTGACACACTCTACCATGAGGCAACTCTCAAAACTACCTGAGGCTGTTCTGGCAAATATAACAGAGGTGTACCTATCTACAGCCTGGTAGTCAAGTGCTCTGAAGTCACAGAGATCTGGGTTCAAGTCACTAATAAGCTATAAGAACTGTCTATACCTCAGTGAGGAGGATATAATGGTATATCCTCCTTTTTGTGAGGATTTAATGGTACAATGAATATAAAAGGCTTAACACAAAATAAGAGCTCAATACATTCTGCCATTATTACTAAGCATTTACAATTACTTAAAGCAACCAAAACTTATATTTTACAAGAATGATTATTCATAAAATTATATTAAAGCTAATACCTCACAGTTTTAGATAAAAATCAAATGAGATCATGTGTACAGTTATAAAACTGAGTTTATTACATTATAAAAATTACGCGAATTAGGAATTTTGCCTAGAGACAGCATGATATAGTAGACAGAACACAATACTCAAAATCAGAGACCCAGAGTTAAGTCCTGACTCTACTGCTTTCTGACTATGTGATCTCAGAACAGTACTGAAACTGCCTCAGTTTTATCACTTTAAAAAATGAGATATTAGCCGGGAGCAGTGGCTCACGCCTGTAATCCCAGCACTTTTTGGGAGGCGGAGGCGGGCAAATCATGAGGTCAGGAGACCGAGACCATCCTGGCTAATATGGTGAAACTCCATCTCTACTAAAAATATAAAAAATTAGCCGGGCGTGGTGGCAGGCGTCTGTAGTCCCAGCTACTCACAAGGCTAAGGCAGGAAAATGGTGTGAACCCGGGAGGCGGAGCTTGCAGTGAGCCAAGATTGCCCCACTGCACTCCAGCCTGGGCGACACAGCAAGACTCTGTCTCAAAAAAAAAAAAAAAAAAAAAAGAAAAGAAAAGAGATATTATCCCTTTTGTGACACGATAGAAATTAAAATAGAAAATACAAGAGGCCAGGCACGGTGGCTCACGCCTGTAATCCCAGTACTTTGGGAGGCCGAGGCGGGTGGATCTCGAGGTCAGGAGATTGAGACCATCCTGGCTAACACGGTGAAACCCCGTCTCTACTAAAAATACAAAAAAAAAAAAAAAAAAAAAATAGCTGGGCGTGGTGACGGGTGCCTGTAGTCCCAGCTACTTGGGAGGCTGAGGCAGGAGAATGGCCTGAACCCGGGAGGCAGAGCTTGCAGTGAGCCGAGATTGCACCACTGCACTCCAGCCTGGGTGACAAAGCAAGACTCTGTCTCAGAAAAAAAAAAGAAAAGAAAAAAATATATATAAGAATATTTCATAAAATTAAAGACTATGTGACATTAACAAATGTAAGTTTTCACATTTCCTGCATGAAATGTCATTCATCATTATTAAATGTCAGATTTGACAGAAAATTTCTGAAGATAATATAAATGGTTAAGAAAATCAAGCAATTTTTTTGGCTGGGCGCGGTGGCTCATGCCTGTAATCCTAGCACTTTGGGAGGCCAAGGAGGGCGGATCATGAGGTCAGGATATTGAGACCATCCTGGCTAACATGGTGAAATCCCATCTCTACTAAAAATCAAAAAAACTAGCTGGGTATGGTGGCAGGTGCCTGTAGTCCTGGCTACTCGGGAAGGTGAGGCAGGAGAATGGTGTGAACCCCGGAGGCGGAGCTTGCAGTGAGCTGAGATTGCGCCACTGCACTCCAGACTCTGTTTAAAAAAAAAAATCAAGCAGTTTTAAAAAATGGGGCCACTGGAACTAAAATGTCTAATGTCTTTATGTAAAAGTCAAATACATATATTCAAAATATGTCCCCAAAGACGTCCACTGAACTTTAGGTAGTCTTATATTTGCAGTTCTGACTCTTAATATTAATTTTTTTTTAATTCAAGCTACAAAAATGTGTCACTTATAAAAAAAAGTTAGGTCAAAATGCCTTGCTTGCTGTAACATGTTTTAACAAAGACATTCTTGCATTTGGGTAACCGGTAACTTCCTTTCCTACAAATGTGTGCCTCCTCTGGCCTTGGAAACGTGACTATCAGTCTCCATGTCACCCAGGTGCAAAATCTCTTCCCTCCTTAAGTTTCATAGTCTTCAAGTCCCAGTGAGTCTTCCTTCTCAATGTCTATTTTTTTCTATCCTCACTGCCATTACGATATGTTAGCTTGCATTACTTTCTACCTGTAGTAATAATTTCAAACCATTTCCTTGCTTCCAGTCTCTCTGCTCTTATAGTCCATTCTATTCATTACTGCTAAATTGAATCAGAAAATCATGCTTTTGCTGTGCCACTCTCTATTCAAAAACTTCCCCCCAAATACAAAATCCTCAGCCTAGAGTATAAGCAGAACCTGGAAGCTGAATGATCAAACACCAGAAAATCTGGTAGTCTTTTTTTTTTTTTTTTTGAGATGTAGCCTTGCTCTGTTGCCCAGACTGGAGTGCAGTGGCGTGATCTTGGCTCACTGCAACCTCCGCCTCCTGGGTTCAAGCAATTCTCCTGTCTCAGCCTCCCAAGTAGCTGGGACTACAGGCATGCATCACCACGCCTGGCTAATTTTTGTATTTTTAGTAGAGGCAAGGTTTTACTGTATTGGCCAGCTGGCCTTGAACTCCTGACCTCAAGTGATCTGCCCAGCTCGGCCTCCCAAAGTACTGGGATTACAGGCATGAGTCACCACACCCAGCCTAGGAGTGGTCTTTACTACCACAGGCAGATGACATACCACCACTGAAGCCTCAGCACAGGAAAAAGGTTAACATCAGGTTCACTGGGATCTATGTCCACTCAAAATGGAGATGTAGGTCACAAAGTTAAAAGAGGCTCAAATTAAAAGAGAAGCAAAGAACTCAGAGTTTTAATAATTTATTTAAAATGCACAATCAATTGTTAGAATTGATACCTGAAATAAACAATAATGGAAAGTGTTTCTTTAAAATGGAAGAAAACCTACCTGGTAAAGGCAGGCTGCTGTTCCAAGGAAAAATGCAATGATGTAATTAAAATCATCACCATCACTCTGCAAAAGCAAAATAAAAGATTATTTTTGTTTCTGGTGGGAGCCCATTTCCAGAAACAATCCATCAAGATAGGCTATAACAATGTTTACACACAAAATTGTCACACACTGGTATATAAAAATTCTCAAGAGTCCTAAAATGAAAACATAAAGCACATTCTAAGGCCTAAAGAGTGTGAGGTAGAGGTACAAGTGTTCCTCTACATTTTGGCCACCCCCATCAATTTCATTCCACTCAAAAGAGGAAAACCACTGGGGAAAAGTTCTGACATACTGTTAAAAGCCTCTCATCCTACTACTAAAAAAATCACGTACAAATGTACAACGCCCCAGTGGCTGACAAAGTTACTCTGGCTCACTAGGGTCATTACTTGACTCAAATACTGACAAACTTTACTACTAGTAAGTATATCACCGAATTGTCCAATAAAGTAATTTGATACGATTTTCTAAAAAACTGTGAAAACTGAAAAGCTACTATCCACTAGAGTGTGCTAAATCCCAAAGAGAAAAATTAAGACTAATCAGTCTTGCATGCTATGCTAGAAAAACAGTCACCCAGAGGAAAAACAGATACCTCATGCATAGAATGTCTCTGCAAAGAAAACTAATGGAGACAGGTAACAACTCATGCTTTCATATTCCTTTCTGGTTCTTCTTAAATATCTATATTATCAACTTCTTTCAATGTTTTTATACAGTAAAACATAAAGTCCGGACAGGAGCATTACATTTTTTTTCTCTTCCAGGCAGGAGCATTAATTTGGCCCTTTTCTTATATTAGAGAGAAAAAGAATCTCTTTATACAATGAAAATTTCTACAAGACACAGAAGAGTATCTCATTATCATTTCTTCATAAAATAGTATAAAGGGAAAATTCCTTTTGCTCTGGTTATTGGGCAACAGAACAGACTGTAAGGCAGAGGAGAGCTGGCTTATCCTAGTGAGAAGATCTTAAAATAGGAACCACTCATCTGTCTGGGATGCTCAGGCCTACTGCACCCCAGAGACAAGGAAGGTCAACATGAAACCTTTCCAGTGTAATAATTCTAAAACCTTAAATAAGTTCTGCTTGATTATTTTTTCTTTAGTCCTTTAGTTTTTAAATGACCTTTTTTCTGATTATAAAAGTTCATGTTCATTGTAAAGAATCTGGAAAATACAGCCTATACAAAAAAGAAATTAATATAACCTATAAATGCTACAACTCTGGGAAAATTACTTCTAACCTTTTCATGTATTTCCTTCCAGTCTTTTCTGTGTATGTAGATACACTTTTAAAAAATAGATTGATACTTTCGTATACTACTTTTTAGTACTTCACATTACATCATAAACACTTTCCCAAGACAGTAAATATTCCTCAGCCACACAATTTGTAATGATTATATAACCTTTAATTGTGGGGATATACTATAATTTACTCGTCCTACAATTGCATACTGTATTTTTTCTCTAAATTTCGACTTTCTAACTCTCTTAATCACCCTTTTTCTCTTTCTCTTTTCCTTTTTTTTTTGTTTTTTAAATTTATGAGATGGAGTGTTGCTCTGTCACCCAGGCTGGAGTGCAGTGGTGCGATCTTGGCTCACTGCAACCTCCGCCTCCCAGGTTCAAGTGATTCTCCTGCCTCAGACTCCCAAGTAGTTGGGACTACAGGGGCGTGCCACCATGCTTGGCTAAGCTTTTTTTGTATTTTTAGTAGAGATGGGGTTTCACTGTGTTAGCCAGGATGGTCTCGATCTCCTGACCTTGTGATCTGCCCGCCTCGGCCTCCCAAAGTGCTGAGATTACAGGCGTCAGCCACCACGCCCAGCCTTTGTTTATTTTGAGACAGAGTCTCGTTCTATCACCCAGGCTGGAGTGCAGTGGCACGATCGCGGCTCACTGCAACCTCTGCTTCCCATGTTCACGCAATTCTCCTGCTTCAGCCTCCCAAGTATCTGGGATTACAGGCATCCGCCACCATGCCTGGCCAATTTTTGTATTTTTTAGTAGAGTGCGGGGTTTCACCATGTTGACCAGGCTGGTCTTGAACTCCTGACCTCAAGTGATCTGCCTGCCTTGGCCCCTGAAAATGTTGGGATTACAGGCATGAGCCACCGCGTCTAGCCTTAAATGCCTTTAAAACACTTAGAAGCATATTTTTACAGTCAGTCAGACTTGGGTTCGAATCTTTACTTACAATCTGGGGCAGTTACTTAACTTTAATTTCTTCTTTCGAAAGCTAAAAGTTGTAGAGATTAAGTGAAATAACATTTGCAAATACAAAATACAAAGAAAAGTAACTGGTACATAGTAAATACTCAGAAACATTCACTGACTCCTCTCTCCCTGGGGTTACTGTCTGCGTCATTTGAAAAATCTTTAATTGATAAAGAGAAGACTGCTTATTAGCCTATTCTTCCATATAATAAATATTTATTAAGCATTTACAAGCCAGGTACTTTGTTACTATCCCTAGTACAGAAAAGAGTTAAGTCCAGCCAGCACAGTGGCTCATGCCTGTAATTCCAGCACTTTGGGAGGCTGAGGCAGGCGGATCACGAGGTCAGGAGATGGAGACCATCCTGGCTAACACGGTGAAACCCCATCTCTACTAAAAATACAAAAAAATTAGCTGGGCATGGTGGCGGGTGCCTGTAGTCCCAGCTACTCAGGAGGCTGAGGCAGGAGAATGACGTAAACCCGGGAGATGGAGCTTGCAGTGAGCCAAGGTTGTGCCACTGCACTCCAGCCTGGGTGACAAGAGCGAGACTCTGTCTCAAAAAAAAAAAAAAAAGAAAAAGAAGAGAGTTAAGTCCACATCAACATAAGGAGGTCACTCTAATTAAGAAGGCAGATACGTAAATCAGTAATTACCACCCAAAGTAATAACTGATGGCACAGGTGCGTGTAGAGGATACTAAGGGAGCCCAATGGAGACACATCTAATTCTGCACAGAGAAAAAAGAAAGGCCAGGGAAGGCTTCCTAAAGGGAGTGAAGCTTAAAGTCTGGGTCTTAAAGGCTGGTCTTAAAGGCTGAACCAGGGTAGACAAGGTAGAAAGGGAATCAAAGGCAAAGGAATTAACATGTACTGTGTCAAAGAGGGAGGAGATTAAGATAACTCAGAGACTTCTGGTTTAGGCAACGCTTGAATGATACCATGCACTAAGTTGGATGTATAGGAAGAAAAGTAACTCAAGAGCAGAAAATATTGAGCTCACTGTGGACATGCTATTCTGGAGTTGCTTGTGGGACATCCAAATAATTATATTTAGCAGATATTTCAGTCTGCTTCAGGAAAGAGTTTGATCCAGAGATCTAACTTGGCAGTCTTCTATTTTAATAGTAGTTAGTTAAACGAAAGGCCTATGACAACCAAGTAAAAATCTCAATTCTTGATTAGCTCCTAGATTAGAAAGAGGAACAAAACACTATATAGAACATTCTGGGGGCAACTGTGGAAATTTGAATACAGATTTTCTATTAGGTAATACTATACCAATGTTAAATTTCTTTGGTGTGATTAAGAGGATTATGATTACGTAAAAGAGTATCTTAGCCCTTAAGATATACATATTGAATTCAATTTTGGAATAAACTGAGATGATACCTACAATGTTAACTTTCAAATGACTCAGTGAAAAAAAAAAAAAGAAAGAAAGAAGGAAAATGGTAGGTAGGTATATGGGGTGGATGTTAATTCTACTATTCTTTAAACTTTTCTGTAAGTTTGAATTATTTCAAAATAAGATGTTATGTGGTACAGGGAAAGGAAAACACAAATATTTAATATACAGTCATGCAGCCACTAAAAAGAATAGGTCTCTGTATACTGATGTGAAATAATCTCCTACATATTTTTAGACTTAAAAAGATGCAAATTAGTATTGAGTATGTTATCATTTCTATAAAAATTTTTTAAAGAATAATTGCATAAGTAAATATATAAATACCTATATACTAGCATATGCACATAATCTCCCTAGAAGGATGACTCTGAGGAAGAAAATTGGGAGAGAATTACTTTTCTGTAAAAATATCAACTCTTATAGGCTTTGAAATTTTTCAAGCGCATATTTTACTGCGTGTGTGTGTATTTATGTATATATATGTGTATTTTTTCAAAAAGGCCATTATGAAAGTAACCAAGAAGAAGGCATGGAGTTGGAAGAATACAAAGCCAAGGACAGAATACTGCCACTATATAAAGGACAGGTGGAGGAAGAAAGTCTATCAAATAAACTGAGGAATAGGAAGAGAAACAAGGAAACAAAACAAAACAAAATGGGAGAAAACGGTTTCACAAAAATGAACGGATAAGAGATTTGTCAAGAAGAAAAATGTAAATAAACTATTAACAGTGATTTGTGTCTGTTTCCAGAAATAAAATTTATTTTTTGAAATTAAACAAGGAAATGTTTAAAAGGAAGAACATAATGACAGATGAGGCAGAGAGGGTACATAAGACTCGACTCTAAAGAGTAGTTGCTGTATTTGGCAACTGAAAGGACACTGGTGAGCTTAATGGTGGATATCTAAGAGAATTACAGGAGTAGAAAAGACATCATAGTAGACTAAGAAATAGAGGGCAAAGGAACAAGACAACAAACATATTCTACTCTCTCAAAAAATTAGAAGAGAGCATATGTAAAGAGGCTTTTTTGGTTTTGTTATTTTTTTGTTTTTTTAAAGAACAGCAGGGCTGAGGGAAACGAGCCAGTAGGGAAGCGCAGATGAAATGTAGGTGAAGGAATAGCCAGAGGTTGGAAGGTGGGCAGAGGACAGCAGCAGGGACAAAAGTGGGAGTTGTCAGTGCTGGGGAAACAGAGACAGGGAGAAAGGCAGAGGAGGGGAAGAAGAGGGCAGAGGTAAGGAGTTCCAATACAAATCTTTATGAATGTCACTATTCACCTTTAGGGGATACTAGAGTACCAATGTATTGCTTTGAAAAGAAATAAAGTAAATTTTCTTTTAAAGATGAGGATGGGGCCAGGGGCAGTGGCTCATGCTAT